TAATTAAATCTAGTAGACTAATTCGTTTTGAACATACCGAATTAAACGTGTAATTAAAATTTTGTGCATCGCTGAATGATATCAGAGGGTATGGAGGTGTGTATAACGTCTCCTCCATCGTCATGAGGTTTGAAGTTGGGAACGGGCCTTCCAAAACCGAACTATACATATGTGGATACGCTATATCATTATTAGGATATACCTCGGTTGTATTATTTGACTAGAAAAAGAAAACCGTTAAGTATATTTATGCATCAATAGAAATAATAATAATAACAATAACAATAAATCTAACCATTTGCCACTCGTTTTCGTACTGAGGGCAAGCGTTATCATTCTGAGCACTTTGTTCGAAATCAATTATTTCCGAATTACATTGTGATAACTAAAAAGAATAATATGTATGACGGATGAAACATCAAATATTTGAAACAAATAAAAATAAAAACGAACATAGGTTTACCATATTATCGTTTTGTAATTCTTGAGACATATATGGATTCGGATGATTATTTTGGATCAAATTATCATGAGAATAAATCTAAAAGTTATGGAGCGCAAGATATTAAAAAAAAAAAAAAAAAAAAAAAAAGGTTAAATGAACGTTTAAAGTTGTTGATATAAGTAAATTGAACATAATGGGAAGTACCAGTTGAAAAAAATTGGGAGAACGATGATGACAAAGGTGAAGAAAGAAAAGCGAGAAAATGACGACAAATCAAGTGATGGATGACATTCTTCTTTATACCTCGAATAACGGATTTAAATTACTGACATTATTATGTTCGAAATAATAGGGTATCTGTATTATCATGGGATCCTGATGATGATAATATGGTAGCAGACCAGAATTTCCAGATATCAATGGGTCGTTGTTGTCTTGAGTGGAACATATTGTATCGTTCATTTCTGAAGTATTTGATCCGATGAGAAAAAGTGGTAAAAATGGAAATAAATCCTTTTCAATGAGAAAAAAAAATAAAAAAGTATAGAATAATAAAAATAAAAAATAACAAAAGACACATAAGCTACCTAAAAGAGTTATTTGTTGATCGTTGTTTTGCAAATTCATGTTGAAAAAAGGAAATGGTTGAATTTATAGAATGAGGCAAAAAGATAAAAATACCTTTTTTTTTTTTACTTAAAAAGGGGTAGGAGAAGAAAAGTTAATTAACCACTCGCTATGTACAAAACTATTAATGAGAATGCAAAAGCACGATGACGTACTTTTTTTTTTACAAGAAGCAATTTTAAGAATATCAGTATGAACAATAAAAAATACAGATAGATATAGAAGGGGTTCGTATAATATAAAAAAGTGTTGATGTAAGGGGGTGGGCTTCCTGGTCAGCGTATGGGTAATTGTGCCCGTACTTTGAATTTCAGAATCTCGCTCGTTAAATTTCCGAATGAAAAAGAACGAGATCGAAATAATTCGAAAAAAAAAAAAAATTTTTAAGTCGATAGACAGAGAAATATAAGTAAGGAAGTGTGCAAAGTAAAGGAAGCTTGTTGAATGATGAAAGGAGTTGGGGTTCGCGATTAGTTTATGATCATTAAAACCAAAGTCGCAACCACTAAAGAAATTTCGTTTTAACGAGGATAACTTGGATTTATATGTGTCAGAACCTTCCTGCGCATGTTAAAATAAATTTGGGATTCAATTTATTTCAAAATTATTTTTTTTTAGCTTTTTTTATTTTTTAAATTAGGGATGGTAGTGCACAGTAATACCCCAATAAAAATAATATATATAATATAAATACGAGAAAATCACAAACACCCATCAAACTATCACCATTATATGGTTCATTGTTTTATATTATATTGTATATTATTAATAAATTAAATCTTAGATATTACTCTGCATATAAAAGAATAAATATATATATTGTTTACATATTTTAAAGAGCAATTATCATCATCATGAATGAAATAAGTTTTTGAATAAGGAGTGTTTAATCTCGAATTCTCTCATCAATCGCATATGCAATTAGATCAAGTTTCTTTCTTATTTTATTTTATTTTAGACCAAATCAACCCCCCAACAATGTACAGCTTATTTTATTTATGTTATTTATCTTTTATTTCCGAATTGTAAATACTACCGTATTTTTTTTTTTGTAAATTTCTCCGAGAAAATTTTTCTTGGTAATTTTGAACCTTTTTTATCATATCAACAACAACATCATCATCATCACAAACAGGGACAGGGAAGAAGAGGAACTTTGCATTTCCCAATTATGATACGGCGTTATTTAAAGTTATCATTATTTATTATTTATTTATTTATTTATTTTTTGGGGTGGGGGGGAAAAAGGTCGTTTCAGAAAGAATTTTTGAGAATTTTTTTTCTATACTTTCATAATTGTATAAATTAGAGAGGTGGGACCAATCCGATTACATAAATTGTTTGACAATTGGTCCCTTGTCATTTTAAAAGCCTTTTATTGATATAAAATATCAAATTAAAAGAAACGTAACAATTAAAGTTTATCAAGTTTATCAAGTTTATCAGATACATCTCGGCGTCGTTTATCAATTAATTATGTCATCCTAATCCGGGAACCTTCTACTTGATTAAAGATAACGTAATACGTGAATTCAATAGGCATATTAAAACCTTTATTAGTTACTATATATGACTAGAAAGGGCATTATTATTATTATTATTATTATATATATATATATATGGTTCAAAAGTTACCCGGTTTTTTTTTGATATCAGATAAAGAGAAACTGCATGTATATTGCACATATTTTTCATAATTGACTTTTCTGTAAATTTTCAAATGAGTTTCTATTACAAATACACATGTGTAACTTTTAACACATTGAATTTCTTTCAGTTCTAAACTTAAAATGGTTCGGTAACCTCTAACTCCATAATAAGGATAATCCGAATTTTTTTTTTTTTTTGAAAAACGTTTTGTCTTTTATATCGAAAAAAAAAAATGTAAATAAATGCATCAATCAGTTTAACCTAATTGGTACCAATGATTACATTTTCTTTCTCAAAGAAAAAGGAAAAAAAAAAAAAAAATAATAATTGTTTTATGCTTGATCATGCATGTGGTATTCAATACAAATCATCGATCCTCAAAAGAGCATAATTTTCATGTTTTTTACAATATTTCGCATGTGAAACCTAATTAATTTACTGCGCCGTTCAATTTTTTGGCTTAGAACAAGGGAATTTGAACCTTTTTTGTTTGTTTATTTGTCAGAAAAAATTGACAGCTTTCTAGTTTGAGGCTTTAACTAATTTTTGATCATTGAAATAACTTCAAATTATTCTCACAATGAAAAATAAAATTCCCATTGTAAACCAAAAAAAAAATTTTTGTTTGCTTTCTTTGAATATATTACAAAGTCAACTAATCCATTTTTAGTTTTTTCACAATCATTCAAATGTAGAAGGAAAGGAAAATCTTTTACATGTGAATTAGATTTCTCATGATTCTTTAAAATTTCAATAAAATACTTTTAAGAACCTGTAAATGTCACGTAATGACACGATACCAACACGTTGACGAGTAAAAACTGACACTAAATCTCACGCGTTAATTTTTTTTTTTTCGAGCATTGTTCAAAATTAAACATCATAGGCAATGCAATTTTGCCCAATTCATATTAATATCTCTAACATTGTTCACGAAGTCATTTATACCTTCATTACTAAACTTTATTTATACACTAATATCTCTTTTTATATTTTTTCATCAATGACCGGGGTCATATTCATGACAAATTCAACTTTATATTTTTTTTATAGGTGGCTACAATCGATAATGCACCATCACAAGTGACAGATGCACCTCTTGCATGTTTATTTTTATTTTCACAATTTTTTTTTCTTTTTGATTCTTACCCGATCCTTTTTTTTTGGTTTAAACGGTTAGGTGGATCCAAAACAACTTCATCTTTTCGATTTACTCGGCATAGGATTAAACGTTCAAACAGAAAGAACGTATTTCTTTATTCAATTGTCTATGATAATTTGAAAGAAAGCGCACGGTTTACAATTTTATGATCTTTTTTTTCATTGACGCACGAACCAAGGTGGATTTGATTTGTTCATCAATACACACACATACATATGTAAGTTAATTATAAATAAAAAAATTCAAGAATTTGTTGATTATATGCCAAGTTAATATGAGAGATCGTTTGACACTTTCGAATTTGGAAGGTTAGGTGAATGAGACACTGATAAAAATTTTCATTGTTTAAATGCTAGGCGAATTGTTGATCCAGAATTTTTTTACATGAATGAACTTCAAAAATGTCATCATTGTCATTTTTATTGAAAAATTCTTTTTCTTTTTTTTTACTTGATGATTTCCCAATGTTGAATGAGCCCTCTTTTGAAATCTTAAAAAAAAAAAAATTCTTTATTATTTTTTTTTTTTTTTTTTTTGCAACCAAAAAGTTCTTTTTAGGATTAGATTATCACTATTTCTTGAATTAAAATTTCTTTTTAAATAATTAGTTAAATTAAACCGATTAAACAATAACAAACCTAATTAATAACTATTTAATCCAAAGTTCGTTAGGGTGAACATGATTTATTTGGTCACCTGTAAATTCTTCGTTGTATCACACAAAAACTTTTCCCCGATGCCTCCCACCTATTTTTATCTATCTTATTAATAATGAAGGGTCGCGGAAAATTAATCATGGATAACTTTTTTTTTTTTTTCCGATTAACGTGTTACATGATATAAATAGCATGTTTCGCAACCAATCCTTTCTCTTCCCTCAAAAAAAAAAAAAAAAAAATGAATGAACTTGAAACATTAATACTTCCTTTATTAAGTAAAGAACCTCCGAATTATGAATCCCTTTTAAATGTTTTAAAAAAGCTCGAACAATATTTTTTTGAAAAAGCAACTAAACCAATTTGGGAATTAAATGAATGCGGAGAAAAAAATAATTTATTTGATCAAAAGAATGTCATCGAATGGTTAACAAAACTTGTTTCTTCTTCTTTGAAATGGATGGATGATGATTCGGAAAGAGATGATGTTTTGGAACGCGCGGCAAAATGCCTATCTGCTGCTTGCGGAAAAGTTGGTGTGTTTTTTTTTTCTTTTTAAGGTAAATTTTTTCGTTTTAATACCAATTATAACCCGAATTACTTTTATCAGCATCCGGTCCGATTGTTAGAGAATGGCAGTTTTTACCACAGGCTGATAGTGATCATCCTGTCATGTTGAAAATACGTGATACAACTTTGCTAGACGATGATGTTGGTTTCAAGACGTGGGGTGCCGCTTATTTATTAGCAAGGTAATTAACTATAAATCATTTCTTTTTTTTGTTTTTTTTCTTCATGTAATTTTTGTTTATTATTGTCGGATTATAAATCATAATTAGACGTTGTACGTCAGGTTTTGCTATGCCGTTGGATCAACTTCGGTCGAATCCTCTTCTCGAGATCGGGACCGGTACCGGCTTGGTCGGTCTGACTTGTGCGAAATTGGGTTGCCCAAAAGTTATTCTAACGGATTGCCATCCACGTGTTCTCTCTAACGTCATTTATAACGTTCAATTTAATAAATTGGATTCAACTGTAAATGTGGAAAAACTGGATTGGAGAGAAATTGCTTGTGGTGAAAAAGAAAATCCTATTTCAGATATATCTAAAGAAAAATTTGAAATTATTATCGGTGCAGATATTGTGTATGAAATTCCGCATACCGATTGGATACCGAAAGTGATAAATCATTTCTTATCACCAAAGGGAATCTTTTATTTAACGATTCCTCTTCGTTCAACTCATACTAAAGAAGTTACGTTGTTTGAAAAACGAATGTGTGAACATGGGTTTATTCCTAAAAGGTGTGAAGAGGAACAAGGCTTAGATGATTTCAGTGGAATGCAAGAATACAGATATTATGAATGGATGAAAGCTCCAATAAAGTTTTATGCAGACTAATTTTCGTTCCTATCTTTTTTTTTTTTTTTTTTTGAAGAAAACGGATAGATAAAATTTAAACTCAATTTTTATAGAAAGTTTTTAATTTCAGCAGATTTTAGTGTGTGAAACGAGGCGATCGATAGAATTCTTTATAGTAACTTCAAAAAGTTCGCAGTCAAAGTCCTATAACAGGTTCATTCAGTTCAATCTCATCGTATAATAATATTTTTTTTTTCATCTAGTTACCAGCAAAATTAGTGATAATGAAAATTATTAGAATTGATTATGAGTCTCCGAAATTCCATTAGTCTTTGGTTTACTCTTTAATACAGATTTCTTTGAAAATTCTGCAGAAGCCATTACAAATCCAAGGAAAGGAGGCGACGGTTTAAGAGGACGACTAAGATATTCAGGATGAAATTGTGTGCCAATAAAGAATGGATGATCTAACAAATTCAATATAGTTTTTTTAGACAAAGGAAACTTGTTGATTTATTTAAATACTGAACGTATATTACCTTTAAGTTCCATTATTTCCATTCTTTCTCCAGTTTCATCACGTCCTACAAAATGTAACCCTTTTGCTTCGAACATGGATACGTGAGCAGGGTTTACTTCATATCGATGTCGATGACGCTCAACAACATGATGATCATCTTTAGAGATAGATTGGGCGTTCTCATATAGCTTTCCTTAATAAGTCATACCAATCAATGTTAAATAAAGTTTTTTTTTTTTTGGTTTACTTAAAAATCATTACAATTCTTACGTATTGTTGACCATGATTCTGTTCCGTTTTGAAAAATAGTAGATCTCAACCCTAATCTCATTGTTCCGCCAAGATGTGTTGTTGAAATTTCCGGCATATTGACAACAACCTGATGTATTGCATTTTTGTCGAGCTCTTCTGAATTTGCAGCTATTGAGATAAATTACGAGTTAATTACTTGTGTACATAACATTGGACTAGACCAATTAATGTATTATATATACCTTCAAGACCGCAAACGTTGCGAGCAAATTCAATTACAGCTACCTGCAACCCTAGACAAATTCCTAAAATAACACAAAACATTATGAGCAAGCAAAAGTCGCTTCATTGTGTTCAAAAAATAACCATAGATACCCAAATAAGGAACTTTATTTTCGCGTGCATATCTTGCCGCAGCAATTTTTCCCTCTGTGCCACGAGTTCCGAATCCTCCCGGAACCAAAATCCCATCCGCAGATTTTAAATCTTCCCATGATTCTCGATATTTTTCCGGACCTTCTTTTTCATATTCTGCTTCCAAGTATGAAGCTTCGATCCACTATTCAAAATATATTGCAAGTGAATATATTAATTATACCTTTATCACGAAATATTAGTCTTAGCATACCTTAAGAATTAATTTTCTCTCACATCTTAATCCAGAATGTTCAAGCGACTTCTTAACAGAAAGATATGAATCTTGAAGGTTCGTATATTTTCCTACCAAGGCTATTATAACGGGCTGTGAGAGGCGATCATGGCTTAAAAAAAAATTAATTAAAAATTTAATAAAAACTTTATTTGTATATATATATATATATTGAAATCCGTACTCTATTGTTAACTTCGTCCATTGTTTCAACAAGGTTTCACCTTTCTCGATTTGAGCCGATGAAATATTAATGCTATCCAAATCTAGTCTTTTCCTTAGAAAATCCAAAACACCTTGTTCTCTTATTAAAAGAGGAACATGGTAAGTTGAGGAGACATCTCGAACAGAAAGTACCTTAAGATATATCAAAATTAACCAGCTGATTTTTAAGTGATTTAAAATAAATGATAATATATTTAATTCAATACTTACTTGATCTTTTCCAACATGGCAAAACATTGAGATTTTATTTTGAACGTCATTATCTAATGTTGTGGAGCAACGACACGCAATCTGAAATGACATTGAATTTCATTATTACAAGACATCTCAATATTTACTAACATAATATTTAAGTCTACCAAATCAGCTGATAATCCTAGGGATCTTAATTCTCTTATGGTGGCTTGGGTTGGTTTACTTTTTTGTTCGCCAACTGGACCAATAATGGGAACAAGTGACACGTGACCCAATGCAAAATTTTTGTATCCTACTCGAAATTGAAATTGGCGCATCGCTTCGACAAACGGGGCGGATTCTATGTCACCAACTGTGCCGCCCAGCTAAATTATGTACGAATTCTTTTTAGATTTTTACCTTATCATCTATAAAAAAACTAGAGTAATTAATTCACACCTCAATAATGCACACGTCAGGTTTTTCGCCACTTTCATCAACAGGTATTGCGGCTACTCGTTCAATCCATTCTTGCATTGCATCAGTTACGTGGGGAACCTAAAACCAAAGTTCGAACACAAATTAAAACTCATTTATTATGTGAACTTGATGAAAAAAAATTTGTAGATTTATACCACTTGTACAGTCTTGCCCAGATAATCTCCTTTTCGCTATTTGATCAAATAATAACGATTATTAATAATTATTAATAGATGATTTTGCTTTAAAAAATATATATTATTCAAATTATTTGTAACCTCCTCATTGATAACTTTTTGGTAGATTTTTCCAGTTGTGATATTATTATCTTTGGTAAGTGTTATATCAAGAAAACGTTCATAATTTCCTAGATCAAGATCAACTTCTCCTCCATCATTTAATACGAAAACTTCACCTATTACATATATAATATAAATCACAAATCAATTGGGAATATGAATGAAAACTATGGTACTGATACGGGAGAGAAAAAACCAACCATGTTCGATAGGACTCATAGTTCCCGCGTCGATATTCATATAAGGATCTATCTTTATAGCGGTAACCCTTAATCCGATAGTTTTTAATAAGAGACCCAGAGAAGAAGCAAATATTCCTTTCCCAATACCCGAAATCACGCCACCAGATATCAAAATATACTTCATTTTTTTTTCTTGGATTCCCATATCGATATATTTATATTACAACTCTTGCAAGTTTATTAACGAGAAAGGAGCGAGCACTAAGATAATTGAATAATTATGAAAAAAAAAAAACGTGTTTTGGGCTCAGTTTGTCGTCAAGACAACTGGAAAGAAATAGTTACTACCGCAAAAAAATTTTCTTTAAATCAGTGACACAAATTTAGCAATATCATTACATAAATAAGTACTGTAAACGCGCATAATAAATGAGCATAATTTCTATTTCCATATTTTCATCTTGTTTAATTTGATCGTCCTATTTTCCCTTAAACTGTAGAGCAGGCAAAATTTGCCTGCGAGCATAAAAAAAAAATATTAATTTTTTAAATATTAACTATTATATAAAAAATATAGTTTAGTATATATTTTAACTTTATTAGAAGAAATTTTAAGTTTATTAAGAAGTTTTTTAAATAATTCAATTTTTAAAATTAAGTTTTAAAAAATTTAATATAATAATTTTTCTTAAAATTCATATGTTTGCGAACTAATTGGATCACTTTACTATTTAATTAATAAATTGTAATAATTAAAGTTATTCTTCATGATAAATTTTATAATATTCTATTTTGATTTATATTGGTAAAAGTAAATATTAATAAGATTGTCAAAGGTCAAAGATAAAATTTTTTAATTTAAAATTTTTTAAAAATTACAATTATTTAACTTATAAGTAACCTTAAATTATTTATTATTTATATAATTAAAAAATAAAGTTATTATAATATTATATATCAATATATTTAAAAATTTTATTTTTCATAAAAGTAAAAGCATAGGGAAAGTCTAAATTTAGTGATCATCGTTACACAATTATTTATATGCGTTTTATAATAGAATTTAATTAAATTATGATTGACCATATGACAAGCCACAAATATTACTAAGTAATACATAACGAAACTTCGCAAAATTGTTCTCTAAAGCTATTTCCTTCGCTAAAGTCAATAACATCCAATGACATCCGATGTTTCAGAGAGTTTTATATGAAGCATTTTCTTTAATTAAAGAAATATATCGATAACCTTGGTAAATTTAAACTGAAATTTCAAAAGTTATTCTAAAAAGAGTATTTAATTTTTAAAAAATTAAAATTTATTTTGAATTCTTTAAAATAAAGTTCTTTATTAATCTAATAAGAAATTTATTTATTATATTACAGGTAATATTACCAAGTATTAACGTGACTAAGTGTATTTATAAATTCTGTATGCACTTCTTGACTCCTATTTGCTTCTACTTCTTCCACCGCCTCATTTTCTTCTTCTATCAGAGTTGCATCTTGTTCATCAGAGGTAAAAAAAGAATTCACATTACTATAAATTCCACATTTATAATATTCCTCACAATGTCGACATCCATATTCTATTATTTGATAACATTCAAAATGATAACCATGCCCACAGATTAATACTTCGTCTTCATCAAGTTTTTTATGGCAATGATCACAAGAATCTGGTAATGGGACTATATTAACACTATATTCTGTTGAAAGGCATCTTGAATCAACGGTCTCTTTTAAGGTAGCTAATTGATATTGTGTTTTTTCTTTAATTTATATAATTTACTTTTTCCACGATTTTTGTAAATTTCTTTAAAATAGTCTAATAAAAATAATGATATTTTTTTTGTTAGAATGTCTAATGCCGATGGCTTGTAAGAATATGTCTTGGATTTTTGAAAAGTATCTTTAAGTTCACAATAGTCTTGTGCATCTAATACAACCATATAGAAATCAGATGATATTACAAATATATATTATATAAAATAAGTAAATAGAAAAAAAATACCAATCACATAAGCTTGTTTTATAATATTGTCAACATTGCTATTTACAGGTGTGTGAGCTC